GCTAAGTGTTCATGTGTGCACAGCTGAAGCAAAAAAGGATGATGATTTTACATAACCGGAATACCCAGATAAAGTGGCTGAAATTTGGGCATCTGTGAAGTCATTAAAGCCATAGTTGGAGGAGACATTGAATTCTGATTTAGGATTCTTCATTCTGGATGAAAAATATCAGAATCACACAATCTACTGCTCATTGCATAGATGTGTTCAGAATTATTAAAACTTGACCTTGCCTCAGGTCTTAATTGCAGACCAGGTTTTCCTCTGGGTCAACCTTATTTTTTGAGGGAACATGTATGGCTTGTCCTCTAGCACCTACATAAGCACAAAGATAGCAGAAAACATGAAGCTTGCACAAACACTGCATCACATGTCTATGCCTGATTCAGATGAAATGTGATCTATTAGGTGAACCAGTAGCGTGTAGTCAGAGTATGAATGGTTCAAACACTGAATGGTCTGGGAGTTCTGCCATTGACTGCCAGGAACACTTAATTTCTCCCCACTCATTTAATGTATTTAAAATGTAACACATTATTCCAGTCAAGTTCAGTAAAATACAAAGAAATGCAACAATTTCTTCCTCTTCTGTTTTGCCATTCATACTGGATTTTCAACAAAACAAATACCAAATTTACAATCACTTTATAATGTTCATTAAATGCACAATCAATAAATATATGATCAATGGATATATGTATCATTAGAATGACATGAATGAGTAGAATGACATACTATTAAATCAATTGAATGACACAAATAAAATGACATACAATTAAATCTTTGGAGAAACCAGATACATAAGAATTAACAATAAGAGAATAGAACGCAATAATAAACAGGCGAAACTGTACCTTGTCTTAGCCAATAATACTGTATTCAACCCTGTTTATTTATCTTGAATTATATTATCACCAGAATCTCAAAAGTCCTTAATCACCTACGTAAGTATATTTCAGACCATGGATGACTTTTTGTATCCTGTATTTAAAAAATTAATGTAATTTTACACGAAGTATGATTTGTTCTTTGGTGTACAGGCTTAGAAATTACTTGTACTTTAGGAATCTTTTTGAACATTAGAAATATTAACAGTTAAACTCATACTATTTATTTTTCATGGAAGTACTTCTACAACAAACTATTAGAAAATAATGGCTCTTAAATTCAAGCTAAGAAAATTAATCTGAAGCTTCACTGGGAATTGTGAAAAGGATTATATTCAAACTCAAAAAATGGCATACATCCTCTGAAAAAGTCACGCTTAGATCCCAAGAATCCCACAGGGATATAAACTACTGATAGAGAAGATATAGCACGGAAAACCTAAGAGTTCTACAGTCCAACTTGAGCTGTCGTCAGAGAACTGCACTTTCCCTGTTAAGTGATGGGAAAGTATCTTCTCCACTCACATTCAAGTTGCACCAGACTCTGAAGCCACAGTAGTCCTCTGGTCTTTACAAAATACTAAAGCTTTAAAAGAATAGTACTTGGATTTTCAAGTGATACCACTGTGGGAAAAAGTTCATCTAAAGCACCGAGACCTTTATATCGTCTAGAGAGTTAAACAAGTCACCACACTTAGAGAGGTCCAGTTATCTAGTTAGCTTTACAACACTGTTGGCTGTATGACCAGGTAGATGGCTCTCTAGACTCCACTGACCACACTGATTATATCTCCACAAACTACAGCAGGAGTTTAGACACTGAATACTCATACAGGCAGCAGTGTGTAGGCTGCTACATTTTGATGTCTTAACTGGAACCCATATAGTCCCGTATTCAATGTTTCTTGCTTATCTGTAATAGCTGTTGCTATAATTCTTGTTTGTGTCAATCTGATGTGACCAACCCACAATATTTTCTGTGAAATGGAGAAAGAAATGAGGAGTGCAGGGATATTCACAAAATATCTGCAAAGGCACTAATGCATATGTATAAAACATAAACTCAGCAAAAACTACATTATTTTAGCAGTGAGATGAATACTTTTTCCTAATTATGGAAAGAAAAAGTATTTTGAAAATCATCTTCAGTGTACGAAAAGAGCAGAAATGGAGATAAACCACTCTAAACAAAGTTATTTTACCATGACCCAAAGTTGATGGGGTTTTTGCCAGGAGTAACATTTTGTCCTCAAAAACTAATAGGTTAAATATCACTCCACAAATGCCTTTAGTGAGCAGCAAAGTCTTATTTCTCTGAGCCAACAAAAAGAATACGCACTAGAAAGTCATTATAAAAAATGGATATATAATCCACTAATTCCTTGCCTTGCACATGTAAGTCTTGCAAATGCCATTACTTCATGCTAAATTAATTTAGGCTAATTTAATCAAATGAATGCACTGGATAACTAATATAAACTAGAATTTCCTGAGCCATTGTTTTCTATCTTCCAAAGACTGAAAGCTTATGCAGATTTTACCAGCTACTTGTAACTGGCAGGTCATTAGTAATGTAGCAAAAGCAAACCACTTCAGGATGTGTACAACAAATTTATTTTGTTTATTTGTGATGCTTAGCTCACAAAAAACTTTCTCAGGTCACGAGAAGTTCCTTTATGATAATACTATGTTGATCATGACATACTAGACATATATTCAGGTAAAAACTAGAGAAAAAAAATGCAGACTAAAATAGACAGCTTTTAAGTAGGATATTTGTAGCCTGCCTGAAATTTTGGGGGGTTTTTGTTGGTGTTTGTTTGTTTGTTTGTTTGTTTTTTGGTTAAAGTTATATACTATAGGCAGGGCTAGATGATAGTGTTATTTCCACCTCAAGAATTTCTTTGAAAGCACTTGGGATAGTATAAAACAACAAAAGAAAATGTAGCCCATTATGACTAAATTTGGCTTCATTTTTTGTCTTATAAACACAGTTCCTATGCAAAGATAAATTCTGTTCACTTTACTCAGACAAATACTTTTCAATAAGCTTTCTGGTGTTTGTATGACCAAGTCTGAATCAGAGTTTGCTAAGAAAACTGAGTAAAGAAGACATCTATATTTATTCTTTATATTGAAGCTTGGAAGTGGGAAGGTGGTTAGTTTAAAATCCAGCGTATTCAGTGACAAGGTCTTTTCTGTTATGTGCACATAACAGTCCAGAGTTCATTCCCTGTGGATGTTCCCAAAAGCCTTGGCACAGCTCTGAGAGGTAATAAAGGGAAAATCTTACTTAGTTTTTTGAAGACCTTAAAAACATGTTTACTGAATATCAGTTCTGTTCAGCCAGCAAAAACTACTTGTAAATATTCAGTCACTGACACATATTATACCTGGGAGTCTGGAAGAGAAATACTGTACCACAACTGTTGAAAACGTTTTTAGCACCTAGATTCACCTTGGTTGATTATGTCATTTTACATATACAAGAGAAGATACAGCAGAGAGTGCAGTAGTCCCTTCTGGCACATCAGGTAGCTACAGATTACAGCAAGTTTGGCTACATAGTGTCTCTTGACTTACTTCTGCTAATCTGGGTACAGCACCACAGCTGTGAGCAAGTCCTATTCGCAAGTCCAATACAATGATGCTTTTGATGCTAATGCACTATGGGCTATCAGTCACAAGACAGATAAACTATGCTCCTGGTTTGTCTTCTTTTGCAAATTTGTCTTTAGATGGACTGGAGGTAACAAGTTCCAAAAATAAACCCATCTTTTATTTTAGGTGGGTGTGGGTGTGTGTGCCGAAGATTGGGCTTCCAATAGCTGTGCTGCAAACTCAAGAAGTCTTGCTTTAGATCAAGTCTCTAGCACTACAAAAATTAAACACTCCTAAAAGTGACCAATTTCTATGCACGAATTTTACACAACAGAAATCCCAAAGGAATTCTGTTCTTGCTTACTCTGACTAAAGAAAGGACAGAATAAATCTTCAGCACTGAAAGTATTTGCTTCAAACTCTTGTCTACACTGTATTTAAGTTCCCTCTTTTAAGTACTTTCTGGAGAATCAAAGAGAGGAACAAGTATTAATAATTATTGCTCTGATGTTAAATATAGCATTTATAAAGGAATCTGTAAACCTCTTAGTAAGGATATGCCTTGTTTTCTTTCTTATGTTGACTATTTGTCTTTCTTTTAATCCTTTTGGACTTCAATTCAGTAAAATATTTAAGCACAGTATTTAGTGTAAAGCATAACTTCAGTTTCCACTGGATTTGAAGTGTGGTTTTGGGTGATTTACTGAATCATAGCCTGCATTATTAATGTTTCTTTTCAAACTCAACATTTTTCCAGAGAAAATGAAACCAGGAAGATTCTCTAAAGTTTATCCTATTGAAAGGAAGGAACAGTGACAAAGGTATAAAATTTATAATCCACCTAAGTACTGAATGTATCTGAATATTATAGAGACTTCAGTCTTAGGACATTCACCTGACATTCCTAATCCAGGTCCGCTAAGCTCAGTTATGAAGAGTGGTGAAAATAAGTAAAACCAGAATTCAGCAATTATTTTCAAAAAGCAACATCATTAATTCACTCTAAGCTGGTGATCAGTCTGTAAATAATAGGTGATTGATGTAGCAAAAAGCTGATAACACTGTTTTTCAAAATCCTGTTTGCTGACAACTGGTTTTTGAGGGAGTTTGTTTTTTTCCAGTTTGTCTCCTAAGATTTACCACTGAACAAATGTAGCCCACACTGTCATTTTAAGGGCACCTTCTTGCTACACATCACCTCCAAGAAAAAGAGATAACAAAGAGACAGAGAACAAAAGGGACTGCAAAAACTAAATGTCAAATCCAGTAACAGGTGCAAACAGATGCGAGCCAGAGACTTTAGTGGACAAGTATCATTTTAGCCAAATAAAGTCTGGACAAAAATACTCCTCTATGAAAAGAAATTATGATGCATGAGCTTACTAAATCACCATCACACAAATCATTAAGTCACTATCCTACAGTGAGAGTGGAAGCATAATGGTTATTAAAATGGCTTCATGCATGTCTTCACAGGAGCTTTGCAAAGTAAGGGCAACATAAGTTTCTTACCTGAGCTTTTATTGGTTTTGTTTTGTCTGCTCTTTACTTGTTCAGTCCACAGTGTGGGATAACGAGAGGCTATATCTAGAAAAAAAAGGCAACAGAAAATAGCTTACAAATGTTAACATTTTTTAAATGTTACTAGCAACTAAGGGGCTAGTTTTATAGATACATAGGTCTTAAAAAAAAAGGTACGCTGGTTTTTATTAGGACAGTCAAAACCTTTATACATAAAAAGGCATGAATAATCCCTTCCTTATCCCATTTGTACCAAAGGTTGAAAAAATACTTTTAGACTAAAATTACGTTTAATTAGAATAAAAATCTCCTATTGTGGACTCAAAATATGCAATGACTTTAGATCAGATTCTGCAAGATTTGTAAAGAGTGGTAAGGCAGCCACAACATAAAACTATTATTGCATGCAGGCCCTGAGCTTTACATTTACTGAGCACCAAAATTCTCCAGAGGCAAGTAAGCCTGACAAAGCATCAACCTTAATAGTAATACTACTAGGCAATATGCTGAGAGTAGAATTTACCCTTTAATTTCTTTATTTGAACATATAATTTTAACCTGCACTTTGGCTCAAGTTTAAAACCTGTATCTGCCCTCAACAGTGACAATTAAATTTGCTGATGCTGGTGTCCACAGCTACAGTTTCATCTCAAATCAATCCCACAAAATTCACTGTTTGTAAGTAAAGATTCTATCACGTTTGTTGTCTTTGCCATTCCTGAAAAAGGTACAGATGCTTGCAATTCTTGCAATTTCTTGCAACTACCCCAGCAATTGCAAATACTCTTAAGGTAGCATTTGATGTTATGGAATACAATCCCTAACTGCATAGTTTAATACCACACTGTTAAGTTTGCTCACCTTCTTCATCACCTTGAGGCTGAGTCTCCAGTGCGGGAGCTGAGGCATCATCTGAATTCAGAATGGAAAAGATTTGCAAGGAGACTACAATTATGAGAGTAAGCTAAATAAGTGTACATACATAATTGATAATAATGATTTGCACATAGCCCCGGCCAGTAAACAAACAATAATTAAAACATTTTTTTATAGACATTACACAACACAGATATATTACATACACAAACTATATTTTATAAATGGATGGTTTTTGAGGTTGTGGCTGACGAATTTATTGCAGGGTCTTTCATGATGCATGAAGTGATCAAGTTGCTCTCTGGACTGTAATTCTTCATTTCTAATACTGAACATTGATACCTATGGATTTCAACTGATAAATTACCATTTATAAATAAGTAATTAGATAAATGTTTAGAATAAGTAAAACCTGTGAAAGCAAAAACAGTGGGGAGAATGAGTGGCTGCAGACAACTGGATGCCTTAAAATGAAAGGTTTTTTTCAGCACAGCAGGATCTATTTAAGAGTCAAGCAGATTTTTTAAGCAAGATTCAAAGATTTTATAAGTAAGGTTCACAGACTGTATAACCAGAATATTGTTTGCACAACCGTTATCATCTGGTCATCCTTCTCCATCCATCCACTACCAACCATTACTGAAAGAAAAAAGGGAAGAAAAATTACAAAAAATGACAAGAAGATGTAATCTTAAATTCAGTAAAACACAGTGGACATAGCGCTGGAAAAGACAAATTCAACATTAAAAAAATTATTCAAATTAACATTTGCTAGGAAGAGCATTACCAAAGATCCATCTTTACCTTATTATGTTATTGCTGTTTAAATTATTGACAATATTGGGTCAATATGATTCAGGAGGCCATGCTAGTACAGATTTTCTAGGCATTGTTGTTTCCTGCAGCATGGAACTAACCCTAACACTAAGGTAAATAGTAAATGCAGAGGTTTTATTACTATTTCTTGCAGGTTCACAATTGGAGATCAGACCAAAATAGTTACTAGATTGTTTTCCTGTAATTTTCACGGAAGATATAATCAAAGGTAACCTGTCATATAGCCTTACCAGTGCAAAAGAGAGCAGCAGCTTTAAGGCTAACACACTATCTCTTTCCCTTTCTTCTTGCTACTGCAACCCAAGAGAGCCTGCTATTCTCTTTGCTGTCTGCATTACTATTTTCTTAAATCTGCCTTGTCTTTATGCAAACCATGCAGAGAATTTGGGGGCATTCTGACCTTCACCCTAGAGGTCACAGCCTAGTACACAGCAAATACAAATACCAAGTAAATACTGATAGCAGGTAAAACTGAATTTTCATCCAAGGAATAGTGACCTCCATGTTCCTCGCAAAACCAAAGCAGCAGCAATAAGAGCTTATTTCAATGTAAAATGATTTAACCAAGGAATAAAGAGATTTCTTTTAAGAGTGCTCATTCTTCATGTCCACAAAATGGCAGGGTTCTCTTCTCCAATGTCATAAGAGACTGTCACTTCTCATTAATTTTGCTGGAATTTTTGTGGTGTCCTCTGGGTGGTGGAATAAGACCATTGTTTAATTTCAGAGGGGCTATCGAGTATCCTAGTGTACTGAAAATCAAGACATATATTTAGATCATCAATCAGTATGTGATTCAGAAAACCCAGAATTACTAAGGGTAACTTATCTACAAAGGGGAGATATTACCAAGAGCCAAGCCAGAAATTCAAACCAGCATTTAAATGACATTTTTCAAATCATCTTTTGGTACACATTTTCAGTTTGTGACACATTTGGTCTAATGTTATTACCTGAAATTCATATACAATGCTGTAACTTCAGCTATTATCTGGCCAATCAAAATTGTTCAAGAGGCATATAAAACAGTTTTGGTTTTGGTTTTGGTTTTTTTTTAACTCAACAGATATTTAATGATTTATATGAATTAGACATCTCGCAAACTACTTGCATAGGCCTTCCTGGATGGCACAAGCATACCAGTCCATATATGCATACATTCAAACAGAAACGTGATTAAATTGTTGGCTGTCGGTGTTTAGTTACCAAGAACATAGTCCTGCAGTCAGAAAAGAATCAGAAAAAAGGGATGTGATCCCAACTCTGACACCTATGCTTTTCAGAGAGGAGAGAACTGTGGGGCAAGAGAAGATACTTAAGGAATTAGCTTTTAATTTTCATTTCTGTTCAGTTTAATGTTTAAACTTACAAATGCAAAGAAAGCTCCTGAGCTCCAATATCTGTAGCTGGAAATTTTCTTTCAGTATTGGAATACCCAGAGAAGGCAAGGTGCACAACGGCAACAGATGTGGCTCACTGGGTCTGTATCTATGAGACATCCTGGTGCATGAGACTGTCAGGTTAAGTCCATACAGTCTCTTGAGTAGAGTCCTCAAGATCACACCTTAGAGGTCTGGAGCTTGTCTTCTAGAGCAGTGAGAACACTGTGAACCTGCCTAAGTTTGCTGGGCTACAGTATGGACAGGTGCTCCCATGCAGGCACCCCTGGTTAGTCCACCGGAGCATGCAGAGGAAAGACAAGCAGAGAGTTTCATATTTATTTATGCCCTTTCAAGCTGAGCTACAAAATATGTTTTACTGCGCTGACCGAGAAGCTGAAGCACAGGTAGAGAGATGATCCTGGTCTCTACTCTGACAGTCTCTAAAGAGTTTGAGATGTCTCTGACAACACGACTTAAAGCATAAGGCAGTGACCCTCTAGGAGAAGGGTGGGGAGAGGGAGACAGTAACATTTGAGAAGAACCAGGGACTGCCTGTGAACCTGGTGAGAGGCCCTTTGTGCTGCAGGCTTGTGCTGCAGCAATAAAAACAGGGCATGAGTAAAATGCAATCGTGTCACTTGAGACACAAATATATGTGGTGAGAAGGGAGATTTGATAAGTTGTGTTCATTTCCTTGTTCTGTGAGTGGTCATTCAGGGTTCAGCAGCTCAGCTACCATGGCCACAAACAAAAATAAAGGATTCCAGAAAAGTTTTATATATGGAATAGTTCATTCAGTTCAAAGCCAAAAATGAAAGTTCTGACCTAAAGTAAATAGGTAGCCTAAGGGTAGTGGAACCCACAGTTTGTCTGGAAATACATGAAGAAACAATTTTTCCAGCATTTTGTAATTATTAGCCTTTAAAGAAGTAGTAATTTTTTTAACATAACAGCACTATAGTTTGTTTAAATGTTGGGTATATTGCAGTACTGTAAAAGCTCCTGCAAAAAGACACTTCAATTATATTTACACTGTATCAAACAGACAGGCATTAACATTAGAACAAAAATTAGTAGCTTCTTTAAAATTAATTTATTCAGTGTAAATGACAGAAATATTCAGTATTTAAAATTGTTTCAAGTGTTTAGAGAGTGTAAGCTTTAATTTTGTTTAAAGCATAAATATCTCCTTCGTTTAAATCTACCAGTAAGATTGGACGCACATCAGATTTTGTCCTGCCAACAAGATATACACCATGATCTGTATCTAACAACAACAATAATCTGGCCATAAATATAAGACATCAGAAGAATTAATCACAATAAAATAAATAAAATCAAAATCAAGTGATGGGTCCAAAATGACTCAAGAACCGATTGCTATGGAAATACACGGAGGACTCCAGTTCCCAAGATTTTGATACTGCAGAATGCTGTCTTTATCAAACAGACAGAATAATCTCTCCTCCAGAACAAAAAAACAATATGGGAAAATATTTCAGAGTATAGCTATGGGAAGGAAAGTTACCTTCCAAACAGCACAGATTTGAAAACTCTATAGGATTGAGACTAAAAAATATAGTGTCTATGTGTATATATATATATAAATATAAATACATGCATACATATATGTATGTTTATGCTCATAAGTTTACTAAATATCTGCAATGCAAAAGTAAAATGAATAACATGTACACATGTATATATATTATATATGCAGCTATAATACATCAAAAATATGTATTGATAATTTAGATCTATGGAAAATCACAGTAGTTTATCCCAAAGCTATTTTAGTTTCTGTTTAAAGGTCAGCTAAGATATTTACCTGTTTTGCCTGCACCTTCTCGTTGTGGCAGCTTCTCACTCACTGAACCTGCAATTGGAAAAAGGAATTTACCGGAAAATATTATTTTTTATTTTAATATGTTATCTAAGAAACACAGTTCAACACTAATGATTCATTTTTGTATATTACAGCAATAAATATGAGCAAATTCTTCCCTTGCAAACCAAAGATTTTAGCTTTGCCTGACTTCTGCCTTTGTGTACCATCTGTACACTGTCAGACTCTACTTCTTGGCCACCACAAGACCTGAGAAAGAGATAACATTAAACACTACATAGACGCAAGTGCAAGAACGTGCTTACATGCTGCAGTCACCATTTCCCTTCCCCACTGCCCCAGCGAGGACAGGTGCTGCAGTAAGAAGCATCACCACTCCCTCGTGGTCCCTTAAAGTTTTGACTACACACCTCAGCTGCTCTGAGAGGCTTTTTCAGCCTCTAGCCTAGTCCTGGCTCAGATTAAAAACTGTCTCTTTCTGCTTTAAACACCTCAAACAAAGCCTTGTGGAAATCCCATGCTGATTTGGGTAAGTCCATGTGTTTGCTGGGGCAGCAGGAACACAGCACCTTTTTCTGAGTTTGAACCTTAGCTGGTTTCAGACACAATCCCAGACTTGTGGCCCTTAGGAAAAGTGAGAGCAAAGGCAAAAAGGGAGTCAAGAAGATTACAAGAGATGGGTTTTAACAGCTTACTCTACCAGCCTGCACTCCATCCAAGAATCCTGTCTTGTATTCAGGGCACCAAAAAATGGAGAATCTACTGGTTTTCTTAATAGTTTTGTTCAGGAGGTTTTAGGGTTTAAAATGGAAATACTTCCTTATTTCTTGCTTATGTGTCGTTATTACACCTGTTTTTATTATTCTAACTCCTAGCCACTTTTTAACAATTTATTTGACTCTGCTACATTAAAAATCACCTTTAAAAGTGATATTTTTCTCTCTGAAGAGCCCACGTGGAGGGATCAAAATTAAAAAAGCATGAAGTCTATAAATTCTTAACACATAGTCTCTTCTTGCATACACCTGCTTTAATGAAACAGTAAGAAATCCCAACACGTACCTTGTATGCTTGTATGTATGTGAAATAATTTGGTTGCCTTAATTTTCTTAATTTATTCCCTATGAAATAATTATGTTCACTGTGTTTAAAACAAAGTAAAAAAAAAAAAAAAAACAAGCCTTGCAGCACAATAAATCTGTTCTAAAAGGACATTTCAAACAAGAGAACCCACTAAATCACAGGCTTTGCCTACCATGCTGAACCCATGGTTACTTCAGCAGGAAGTTTAGACAAGGAATCTGCCAGAGGGAAGATGCCTAATGTCACAAATCTGCTCTGATGATTTTAAAGCCTCTATAAAAGAATACTGGCAATGCAGCAAAGCTGGTATTACCTTCTGAAGGATTCACCATATCAAAAATATTCTTGTTTAGATGTGCTTCCTCTTGCATCAATAGTGTATTTTTATTATATTATGTTTAGGTCAACAGAAATTCAATATACTTAAGGATGCATCAGTATTAACTCAGGTAGGAAAAAAAAATTGCAATCTTGTAGGAATTATATCCAAGGGTGTTTGGAATAGTTTGCTCTAAATAGATTGCAATACTAATACATATTATTTACTTTGAAGAGAAGGCAGATTTTTCCATTTATGCTGAAGCCAGTAGATCTGAGTTTTTTGGTGCTTGGCTTGCATTTGATAAAAGGCTCAGCTTGAACTCAAATAAGATGTTCCAGTTTTCGGAAGTACTACATACAAAATTACAGGTTTTTCTAATTGCACTAAATACTGGTGATCCAATCTTTCCTCAAATTTCATCCAGTTACAATTAACCCTGTAGTATCTGAATTTCATTTTGATTCACAGGCTTATAATTATAATTTTCTTGCAAATCCAGAGATTTTAGGCCTGACACTCACCCACACTAAAGCATTTTAAACTATTTTTTATTTTGTGAATAGAAAAGAGGTCTCAGCAGGGGGAATGTGTGTGATGAATGCCACTAACACCCCCTCTGCACCAAACAGCACGTGAAGCAAAGCCCCAGTTTGGCACCAGTGTTGTCTCTCTATGTACATTCAGGACTACTAGTGTAAATGGAACTTTAAATTCAGTTCATGCCTAAGTAACTTAATACATTAGTGTAACATATATAGTATTCCATAGCTTAAACCAAAAGGAGAAAAATCTTTCCAGATACATTCAGGTTTCTCCCTCTGTATGTGATACGGTGAGAATGACTACGCGGTATTCATGTACAGTCAGGGACAATTCAGTTCTTCTTTCTGTGCTTGGATTTTTTTTTACCCTAAATTTTCATGGAAAATTTATAGATGGAGAAGAGAGTGGCATTTACAAAGACTAACTTTATCACAGTGAATCTAAATTCATTAAAAAATTAGATGAATGCTAAGCAAATTAAGTTACTGGGATAATATTATTTTAAGATTCTTAGGAAGTTAACAAAAATATTCACAGAATTTCCTACAAGGGAAAACATGTCCCCTTCACATTATTGCACCTGAAATTTTCAACTTATGCAGCAGAAACAGTTCTTGTTGTCTCCAATATCAAGGTAAGGAGGAGCTATTTCATTGTTATCTTTTGTTCAACCATTTTCTGAATATATTTACGGTAGAAATACTTCTAGCTTCCATGGTGATAGGAAGTTGAATTTCCAAGTTCTCAGGAAATTTTATCTTCAGTACTCTGGATGAATCCTCACATTTGCAGCAAGGCAAGAAACAAAGGCAATTTCTAACTTATCTAAAAGTTGGGCTATGCATTTGGCTTCCAAGTACACTGTAAGCAACCATTTGCTTAGCCATCTATCCGTTTATGGCCATGATTAATTTAATTTCTTTTTTAAAAAGCAGACATACTCATGCCTTAGTTTATTGCAAACCCCACAGTTCCACCCAGTCTCACTCCAACACCCTCTGAGACACAATTCGCTTCCAGGGAACAGGATGTGAGTTTTGTGGTTTGTGATTTTAGAATATCCATTTTCTATAGTTCTGAGCGTACGTGAATGGCCTTCAAAAGAGAAGGTGAAAGTCTATTATTCTCTAGTTTAGATGATGATTTCTGATCTCCTACCAAGGAATATTTGTTATGTAGTAACTGGATGCAGATATCAAGATAAGTAAACTTCCCATGCTATTCTTTGTATCACCTATGGGTGTGTCTGAATGCATATATATAGATAAAGTACTATGTACAGGGAAAGAATTATCCAAAGATGGATATTTTTCTCCAGCTGACAAAAACAATATAATGTAAATTTTAAAAGTTCATTCCCTCCCCAAATATATTTCTTTTCATTGTATTATCTGATCATAATACTATACAGGTTGGAAGAGTTCTGAATTTCTAAAGGGACTTGTATTTTGGCCACAAGACATGATTGTGTCATAATGAAAAGGTAACAAAACTTCTTTGCAGGAAAATAAACATCTCTCCATACCTCTACAGTCTCACTGGCAGAAGCTCAAAATAGTTAATGGGGCATAAATCCCCAACAACAGGCAAACACTGTATTTTCCAACGATAATTTAACACCTGCTTCTCAACTTCTGCCCCATTTCCCAGGACTCAGTGCCTATGGAATTTTTGTAGTTCCCTGCAGTGCTGATAACAGAGCTGGAGAGCTGTAAAAATGTCTTTTTTTATGTCTGGTGTTCTTTAGTGAAAGTACTGGGAGACATTCATCATTTTTAAGGAGCTTTCTTTTTAATGCTGTCACGAGAATGTGTTTGATTTACTCTCCTTCTCCCCATTGCTCCTGCAATAGTGAAGATTATTTCCATGGAGTAGAATGGCATTCTGGGATTTATCATGAGTGTCTTAGCAGTACCAAGTGTTGGTGTGGGAAAAACTGGAAAGTATGGAAGAACAGCCTCTTTCAGGCAAAGATGTAATTAAAGCAAAGGTTCACGTAAAACGGTTAGAGAGTCCTGCATTTTTTTAATGCTGCTTATGACTTTCCCATTTCCAGATCTTTTGTCTCTAGCAGAAAAGACAGCTTAAATAAGAGCAACCAGAAAACACCATTGAGCAAAAAAATGGCTCGTACAGCTATTGTTGATACATAAAAAATATACATATGATACTTTTTGGAGTGGAGAAAACTTTAGAAAGCATCAAATTATGCAGCTAACCAATATTAGCAGTTAGAGAAATGCAGAAGCTGCTTCACATATCTGGTAAATGTGAAGCATGGATAGGAGATGGAACCAGTAAACCAAAGTCCTAACTGCCCAACCTAAATCTTGCTTCATATTTCCTCTACTAAAATCCAAATTCTTACAGGCTGCCATGCTCTTCTTTCCTATTTCTGGGTATTCACCAAAATCAAAGGTAGTTCCACTGGGGGAAATAAAAGGCAAGAAATTATCCCACAATTTGGGAATAGCACAGTTGATTGGATGTGTATTTGAAGAGCTAACCTAGAACGTAAAATTAACTGAACATTTTCATTTCCACACTCCATGGTAGCACATTACCTATGAGAAAATAATTGCAAAAACATCTTGAATGTCTGTACACATTCTCCTCTTACGGGTAGAGGTGGCAAAAAGTGATCCCAGGAGAAAAAGGTATAGTACATGTAAATAAAATAATTTGCATAAGTGTTTTTTAAATAACTGTAACATCAAGCCTACAGAATACACGGAAGCATGTGAAAATGCCTGCAACATCAAAAATAGCAAGGCAATTCCTTCATCAAGGCTAGAAATGGCACGGTGTGTTGGGCTGTAGTCCCCACTGTTGTAGGGACAACAGTACTAGAAGAAACGGCATTCCCAAAATACTAGTTAAAACAGGAGTACATCTATTTAACTTCAGTTGAGCCACTGAAGTTTTGATTGTAATTCCAGCGGCATAGTCGTACTAAATACAGGAATGGGAATCAATGGTGATCTGGAAAGTATCAACAGTCTTAAAGGAAAAAAAAACCAAAACATCTGTTTATCCTAAACAGATGGCAATTTTGAATATATAGTGGGAAGTGGGAGTAGGGTGCAATTGTGCATCAGACTTTCATCCTTCAATATAAGAACAACGTTTTGCCTTATTATGCCATAATAAGGTTCTTTCTGAGAAAATCTGCAGCTGTCTTCTCTGCTGAATGAGAAGGGTTTTCCAGATCTCTCAAAACTTAGCCAATTTCTTAGCAAATTTGTTAGCCAATACCACTGCAAAATCCCCTAGCATTTCAAGTCTTACTTCCAAACTCCGCTGTAGCTGGACTTCTTTCCTAAGGGACAAAGGAGATGTGGTGAACAATAAAACATGAGAACACTGATACAAGAAGGGGAGGAAATGTGCAGAGATAGTCCCACAGGGCCTCATAGCAACTGAAAAATTACCCACAATCTTCCATGGAGCAAAATCAGAGTCTGCATACTCACCTGGGCCCTGGAGCAGTTTATTTATCTCTGAGCTACTAAATTCAATTTGAGTGCTACTAGGACCTTTACCTAAACATTTCTGTAAAAATAACTTCCTTTCCCATCCCTCAAAAAATGAACTGAAGCATTCAGGCAGTTTATTTGCCAGGCACATGAATAGACCTTTGAAAGTAACTAGGGTTAGATTTCTGTAGAGATAGAATAATTCTCATATTAATCTATTAATTACACTGGAACTACACTGCAGCTTCTCCTCAATAATACCAGGTACAAGTAGAAAAAGTGAAATTATAGAAACTCAACAACATTTTGAGCCAAAAATAGTGGCATGTGTTATGAACCATATGAAAAAAAACTATTTATTGAACTTTCAGCATCAGCATAACCCTTTTTGCACTGATGTCAGTGAAAGAACTTTCTCAGAGCCTCATCCAGTTGAATTTTGCCACTAAGGATGGGCCATCCACCAGCACCTGTTTCTGTGCTTAACCACTCTTCCAGTAAAGAATTCTTTTCCTTAAATCTAGTAAGATGCTACAGATAAAGTCTGCTATTCATGACACACTGTCATATCCTGGCCAACCAAACAAGATTTACCTGGGCAGCGGGGAGTTTTGTGGGCCACAGCAGTACCACTGATAGGACGACCATTGGGAGTGACACACCAGCAGTATCCAGTGTAACTATGGCACTGAACCTGTCAGAAACAACATGAACCATGTACAGCTCGTCAGACATATGTCTGTTATCCCACAGCATTCATACATGTGAGTACAAAAGACTAATCCAGCAAACTATATTGACAAAGCCTAGAAGAGGAAACCAAATTGGACCTAATCTCAGTCCTACATATGATTTTTTTAGCATACAGCATATTTCAAGCAAAGTGTGGTAGGTCCTTCAGAATCAAATGAAAGAGAAAACTATTGAAATATGTGATTGTTTACAGCCTATCTTAAATGACTGAGGTGCAGGTGTTATAAACACTTCACTAGGAAGTTCCTCAAGGGACACATAAACTCTTCCTGAAGCAAGCAATTTTGAGGTTTTTTCCACATAAAGAACATATTGTTCCACCCACTGAAGGAGCACGACAGAGTGCTTCTGCCAGCATTATTCATATCCCAAGCTGTCAGAAAGGAAACTCTTGGAATTCCATTTAGAAATCAATTGCGTTATATTTCCTAATGGCCAACATCACTTCCCTCACTGTGTCTCATGCACAAATCCACAGCCGAAATGCAGTACAGAGGTAGCAGAAGGTGACTTTACTGGAATATGTATCACAGGCTAAGCTTCTAACTGTGTCCCTTCTGAATTCCATGATCTAAGCTAAGTAAATTAGTCTCAGAACATATGCTTGGAAAGAAATTCGACTGAGAATAGGGAAGAATCTTGTATGATTCATGCTTTAGCACTAAGACATGGACTCTGGTCGCAAGATCTCTGGCTCAAATCAGGAACAGATCAGAAATTCCAAGCATTTTCCCATCTAATGAGTATTCAGGGGGCTACAAGAATGACTCAGCTGCCTCATCCTAGAAGAAACAGGGAGAGTATTACACAAACAATAGTAATGTTTGGCTCTTTTGCTGGCCAACTCTGAAAAAAAGAACAAGGACTCTGCACATAACATGGATTTTCCTTCAACTTTTTGATGTCAATGTTAGCAGAAATTACATTTAACTTTGAAATTACATTTCTCTTCATTGCATTTGTCTCCTCTTTACCCTTTTCAAACACACATATTCTGACTTTACTGCCATGCAAGATATTAAATGAAAAAATTTCAACCTGACTATATGTGCCATCATCATTGCATTCTGGGATAAACACTTGCTGGAATTCTTTGCGAGCTTGTTCCTGGGTATACTTCCTCTCAGCCACACACCTGGAAACATCTAGAGAAAAAAAAAGGACAAGTCAGTTGAATGAAGCAATAGGAAGAAAAGGTGGGTGACCATCTCTATTCTGAAAAAGGAAGGTGGTTCAGAGATTCATGTAAAAAAACCCAGAATTTTAATCAGTGAAAATGTAGGATCACTTGCATTATTTTTAGGGAAGAAAACCAGTGAAAGACAATAATTTCTGGACAATAATCCATAAGTGGGAAACAAAATAGAGAGATGCCTACAGATATAACCTTTCAGTTCCAAATGCTGCCAAAGAGCAGAAGCCCAAACAGGGTTTTTCCTTTCAATTTCTCACAGCAATAGCTGCTGCATTGCACCCATTGCATAATATTCTTTCAGAGCTGATGGCAGCACCAGCTTTCTGGTGCTTCAGGAAAGGCAAAGAAGGCAGCAAGAGCATAGCTTCCTTGTACTTCCTACTGAGAATTCACACACTGCTTCCTGCAGTCAGGCAGCAATCTCAGCTGTGACTACAGATATCCATATCAGGCTCGTAAAAAAAAAAAAAATTATACTGTACAGTACAGGGACTTATTGGGAAGATGATTCAATAATAATTTTGGACATGATTAATTTATAATATGCTAAAATTTAATGTAACAATTTATGATTTAAACATGGTGCAAGTCAATTCTACCATATAGTCCTTTTTTGTCCACGGCGTGGTTTCTTGCACCATCTCCTTTATTACCTGGTACTGGTCTCCATCCAAGACAAGTTAGCAAACCAGTCAGCTTTAATTCAGTGGAGTTTCTATTGCCTAATAAATTATATTGTCTGCTACATGTACTTTATTTCAATTAGGCAGCCAAGGGATGAAAAAAGACACATAATATAAGCTGTTGTACCTTTTTTATGTTTAAAGACACTACAAATTTTAGCATGTTGCTGATGCATAATCAGAACTGCTGATGCAGAATCTGCTTGAGCTAAACAATTTTAGGAAAAATGAGAATACTAAGTGAGCTTAAGGTAGTATTAATGATTTCAAGATGTGACTGTAACATCCAAATTAATATGATCTCAAACATACAAGCAGAGAAATTTGCTGCTTCTGATCCTTGTTTTGCTTAAATACTGTTTGACAGAAACTGTCCAGTGCATACCTGTGAGACAGGAGTACTGGGTGATTCGTTAATGTTTATGAAGTTCTTTGAAAGAATGGGGACAGACTTTCTAGTTCATGCAAGATGCACATTGAACAGAAACCGAACAGTGAGGCAACAACACTTGACAGGGTTTTGGCATTCCCAGGAGCACACAGGTGAGCCAGCTAAATTCCTGTCCCCTAGACACCCTCTCTGTGCCGATATGATCCAGACATACATTCATAGAACCAGCATGGAAACTTGTTGGAGCGGCAGAGATTATTTTTACGGGATAAATCCTTCACTGGTCATCTCCACTAGCATTTTACATCTTGCCTGATAATATTAGCATTAAAAAATCCCTTCAAGTCATAGGCAATCTGATATGGAAGCGTAGCATAATGAGGACAAAAACTGTTCCTCGGCATATACATTCTGGAAACAAAATTGGGGCCCCTTTAATTCTAATCTTCATATTTCCCTCCTGGTCTCATACTCATGTGCACTACCTCTGTGCACTACTTTACTCTTCTCACAGGAGCATTAGGACGGTTCATGTTGGTAATATGCCCAAAATACAAATTGTTTCATTTTGAAAACCTGAAAAGCTATATTTCAGTTTTACCAACTGTAATTGTATTATGCTGTTTCAGGAGGGATGCTCACAGAGATGCAATGATATCTAAAATGATCAGAAAAGCTCAACCATCCAGAAACATGAGAAAGAAAAATAATAAGGAACTGAATTAATTTGTACTCTGGTACTTTAATAGTTTGTTTCATCAAGGGAAAAGTACATCCAATGTCCTGTGTAGCTCAGGTAAAGTCTGTTAATGTGTTCACTGCCAAAGTTTTTTGGGTAAAAAAAGAGAAACATTTTATGCAAGCTTTGGTGTCGTAAGCCTTCTTCTGAGCATGGTTTGGTTATACAGTACTTAATAACATGTGGTTTTAATGTAGCTAGTATTTTAACTGAAAATAAATCACTCCTTTGTTGGACCTCTGTACTCGTTTTTCTAGAATGACATGTGGTTTAAATGTCTAAAAGGAAAAGTGATATAAATTCCATCACATAAGGTCTCTGGTATAGTACCAACAGGGTTGTAAATTATCTGCAATATTTGAATTATCATGAAAACATGCCAAGGAGAAAGAGAAGTTCTCCAAAACTGTCCACAAAGTTGTTCCTAAACAGCCTGATGCTCTAAAGGCCTCTTATTCGTGGATGATCTAATATGCTTTAAAATCAACAATTACCAAATTTATTGGAATATAAAATTCACATTTGAAGTCTTACTTTGTATTTTATAACCATGGAAACATTTTAAAGCTGTTGGGCATTACTATGCTTCAGTATGCCCAAAATAAAACCATGAGGAAAATCTCTTATCAACTTAAGCATCTGAAATTGTGTGCAGTCAAAAAAATATTTCCAGTTCCGTTTTTTATTTTACCAAGATGTTACCACAGGAGAATAACTACGACACAGAAATGAGGTCCAAACCTCAAAAGAAATGTAGTAGGGTGATCAAGATAACAAGAAGACAAATAGAAACCCTTCAAATTCAGAATATTAATGACCAATACAATTATTAATTCAGAGGAATCTGTAAGATTACACCATCTGAGCATCTGCCTCTGTGTCCTGGTTGCAATATCTTCAAAATCTACTGTGTGATTATAAACAATTTTTCCAGAGAAAAAGAATTCAAGATATTTAAGGACTAGACATTTATATAAATAACAGCTGAAAAAGGATGAAAAAATAAATTCGCAACATGACTGGGAGAAAAGATGAAACATAAGCTCACATCAAAACACCAGAAAAGAGATAGCTGTAGGGAAATCTTGTAGCCCCTGATGCACATAACTCACAGGCAAGATCATAATCCATAGGGAAACAAACCTTTCACGTGACCAATGCTCATGGTCATTCAGCAAAGCCAAATCTGGGACTCATTGTGCAAAGTCGTTTAAGTGCACCCAACTGTGCACTTAATTAAGTGCACGACAATTCTTGTCTACAGGCCCCCCTGTGCACCTTGCAGAAGTTTAACTAATGAAGATGACTCACATGAATCTCAAATTAGTAGTATGAGCCTAGGCTTATATGGTTTGTCAGAATGGGGATTACATAAATAAATAAATAAACACACACACACACACACACACACACACACACACACACACATACATATCCATACACATCTAAGGGGATACCAGCAAACTCTCTACCATACTAATTCAACTTTGCACTTTATCTAGAACAGGAATAATTCAGATTATTTTATCATTATATATAAATATCATTATATTTATCTGATATATTATCAGATTATTTAATTATTCTGATTATTTTAAAATGAAGACTGAGAATGAAAAATGGCAGCACTTACTTGGCACCTCTGTGCTCATTAATCAACTCACAGATTTTGATTTTTCAACATGGATCCTGACCAAAGAAGCCTAAACTCTTTTGAGGTGAGCAGTGTCCCTCTGTTAAAAACCTGTGAGTGGAGAGAACTCCAAGGCTGCAAGGTGTTGGAAGGCTGACAAGCACCGTGCAATGCTACAAGCGTGTTTTTTTTAAAAAAATCTGTTTTTGTTTAAATCTTTGGAACTGTCTAATGGAAAAAAAAGGGGCTTGAAACTGTTACTGGTTTCTTACTAAAATTCCCACTTTATTGCACTCCCTAACTAAAGTATTAAATAAGGGAGCTAGCAGGCTCAAGCTGGAACATGGTCCATGAGCTGATGAAAAGACCAGTAAGTTCTAAGACCTGTTAAAAGCTGGATGAAATGAGGCCTTATTTGCTTATAGTCATACAGTGGGAAGAACTAATTTTGAAGATATGTATGTCCAGTTGTAGTTTGGAATTATGGCAATTTTATAGAGAGAGAGACTTCATCCTCTCAACTCCAGGTAAATGGGTTTTTACATCAAAGAACCTTGTGGGGAATGGAAAAAAAAAAAAAAAAAAAAGAAAAAGCACAAACAAATAAACAAAAAAAGACACACACACAAAAAGAAAACCAAACAAACTCTCATGGCATAGAAATTGAGTAAGAAATTTACCTTAAATCATCTCTCTGGGATGGTATGAGCTGTCAGACTGAGTTGGTACAAAGCTCAATGCATTTAAGCACAGTGCGTTGATTAATGTGTTGATTGTACCCCTCCAGTGACTTAGCATCAGGACTTCAAAGGCAGCCAGAAGTTTGATAAAACAAATTCATCTTGGGATGTATAACTGAAAACAAAACTAGTTGTATGGGAATGGACAGAAATACACAGAGCTGAGGAGAGTACAGAGTTATAGCTGGTTTTGGGCAGGTCTTTCTGAATTGCCCTGGTGACAATTCTGGATTCCAAGGGAGACCACAGAACAGAAAGCACAAGCGAAATATAAAGCCATCTTGATTTTAAGCTAAGATTCTATATGCAGCAGGGAGGACTTTCACCTGTGAAGAGAAGTGACTGCTGGTACATTACTGAAGAATCTTCCTGAGATAGCACTGAAGTCAATGGGAAATTTTGGAAACAGAATTAACCTCACAAATAGCATCAGGATGACTTGGAACCAATCTCATTTTATGCTTTATTTCCAACAGTACAGCACCAAAACCACTGAGCTTCGGGGACAGAACATCCATCAGCTTCAACTCTGCTGGCTAATCCTTGGATAATATATCACACAGAGAGAAGTTTATTACTGTAAAGTAGAACTTTATCTTTAAAACAATGACACAAACTCATCAAGGGTGTAAACACCATCTCTAAAGTGACATTCAATACTACTGAATTTACAACAATTTTGGGGCTCTACAGGGAGATCTAACCCAGATTCTCTCACGGAAAAATAAACAGCTTGCCAAAAGAGTAGATAAATCTCCTGCAAG